CCCAGCTCATGGGGGCCACAGCAGTGGGGCAGCCTGGAGRTGCTGGCATTGTGATGGCCTTTAGTCACTCGTGTTGCACCAGCAGAGGATTTGGGGCATTTTGAGCTTTGCTTTGAAAACAGCAGTACTTGGAGATGGGACAAGGAAGATGATRTGATGTGAAGTAGTAACTGAGATGGGGAAAGAAATACTTGGTGTTCACCTTGGAGAAAKACTCTCAGCACAGGACCTGCTTGGTTTGTGCTTGCTTCCAGAATTTACCCATTGCAAAGAAATGAAACCCATGAAAAGATAAATTCAGGTGTGGATAAGTAACCCAGACCAATTAACTGAGCCTGGTTACCTTCATCCAGATGTACCCRTGGCTCAAAAATTGGCCCTACACCAATTAATCAACTTCCAACTATGGTTGAACTTGATAATCTGAAAGATCCTTTCCAACCTAAATRTTTCTAKAATTCTATGACCTTGAAGTTTTCSTAGAGGGTGATTGGCAGYAATACCACAGTTCATTAAATATTTTTATTCCGGTGTAAGTTCCCTGTTAGTTTTATTGTTAGCCATTTCGTTTCTGGATTACACCRTGCAAAACACATTTGCCAAGCCATTAGGCTCCCCTGGCCTGTGCCTGCCCAAGATTGAGCCCTCCTGGGTGCCTCTCCAGCAGGGATTTGGTCGGTGCACACCCACTGGGAGCACTCACAGCACCGTTCCAAGTTCTTGCCATCATTAGAAAGTCATTAGTAAATGAAGTCTGAGTGATTCCCAGCAAGGCTTGACAGAAGRAGCGAGTGTCAGCAGTATTGTTTCTGTTGTTTGTGTTGGCTGCGTGCAGAGGAACCACTTGAGCCTGTGTGCTCTGTGCTTAAGCTGTGTTTTGTGTTTAAATTCCTGAGCCCCCATCAGATCACCTTAACGGGAAACGTTTTTACTTTTGGAAATTGAAGGAAGTGTGTGGGTCTGCTGAGAGGTTCTGTCACTGATGTGTAATACAATGTGGATTTTGAAGAATGCAGTCTGAACTACACCTGAAATTCCCACTGATACAGTGTGTGTGCTTAAAGCCAGTAAAAACCATTGATGAAATGTTTGCCTGACTGATACCAGACCCAAGGACTGGGAAATCTGCTCTATTTATATGGGTTATTACTGTTGTTTCTGTGATGTGGAAGAAGAGAGGCAGCTTCTCAAGAGCTGTTTTGCCTCTGCTCAGGTACTTGAACTGGATGTGTGCAATGGAATTAGCGGTCAGATTTCAAGATAAGTGAAGGTTTTGGGGCTACACTTCTAAGCACTCTTGTCGCCAAATTCTTGAGTTACTCTACTGTGATAAATTTAACTTTTTTGCCATCTTGTCTTAGCTCATTTCTGAAGTTCTGCAGATAATAATTCTTACATTACTTCTTGTTTGTCCAAAATGCCCCAAAAACAATTTTCTACTCAGTTTAGTAATGGTGCAGAAAAWCTTTGGTTGAGATTCCTGGAGATAGAGGGTTGGAGATCTAGAGGATTCGATTTCAAGTTGGTTTATTTTTCCTTTCATGTCCTAATTCAGTCACATTTCTTAGGAAGTGTATCCAAACCAATAATTTGTCATGTTGCACTTTGTGTCTCATGAATTTGGAAGAACAACAAGAACTATTCTTCACCCAAAAGGCTAGAAGGGGCTGAGAACCAAAATTAGATCTTAAGTCAAAGCTTTTATTCACAGTTTCAAGTTCAGGGTAGTGGAATTTCATTGTAGGGTTTTTTTTTTGCAGCTCTTTGCTCGTGAGATATTTTGTCAAAAAGGAAGAGTGCTTTATGGTTTTTACAGGCTGACTCTGGGGCATCTTGGGATGTTTTGACTAAGAAGGCCCATTTGGGCTGCCTTTGATGTAGAGTCTGCAGCATGGGATGCTCTAGGCCAAAGACAGAGTCTCAACAAAAAGCATGGAGTTYGTTAAAATGGTCCCCACCAGATTTCCATGGTGGAGCTCCTAAGGCAGCTCAAGGGGGCAGCCAGTGACACAAAAGAAAACCAAACCAAGTTTCCTCTGTGTGGCCACTTGGGCCTCACACTCAGCCAGRGCAAGAACAGTTGGAACTGGTACATCCAAAAAGAATTGCATGTAAAAGCTGCTCCATCCTTTTGGGAATTGTTACATCACATCCTCCTCCATTTGGAGAATAATTTCATGTTCTTGTATTTGAATGTGTGTGTTTGGGGAGTTGTGCATTAAAAGAAGTCTTTAGTCCTTGAATATCTTTTTTGGAGCAACTTAATTGACAGAAAAGGCAGTTCTCTGTTCTTTGTTTCACTTGTGAAATGTGAACTCAAAACTTTTTTTCTCTTGCCTTCCCTAGCATGCTAAAGGCAGTGTAGCCCATTAAAAAATAATAATTGAGTAGCAAAATAAAACATTCTAACATAGAATAGCACAACAAAACCACGGAGTGAGTATGTTCTTGTGAAATAGGTTTGTGTTTGCACAAAAAATTCTGTCACTTAGGCAGGGTGTGTTTCAAAGTGTGACATGTAGTGGAGTCAATTTAGTGAATTGGTATTTATTGTAAATAATGTATTCTGTGATGATGCAGTATTGAGATGTGGGTCTTGGATGGTTTCTCTCCTGGGAGAGTGAAGAGAGACTTTGCTCCATCCTGGGGTTGGAGAGCAGCAGTGGCATCTGATGCCTGTGGAGGAAAAGCAATGTGCAGATTCTGTCAGGCAAGGAGAGCTTTTTTTTTGAAAACAGCATATTCAAAGATAAGTGTTACAAAAATACCTTGTTTACTGACAACATTATCTACTTGGAAGATGAAAATGTCGTGAAAAATAGACTTATCTGGGTAATGTAGCTCTTAGCACTGATGAGAGGGAAATTGATAATGCAGTTTGGGACTGACAAAGTAAGTGCTGTACTTATCACAAAACAGTGTTATCTTTTGATATGGTGCTACAAAGCAGATTAAACTCTCTAGAAATGCTATCTTGATGTGCTTCCCTGTGAGCTGAAACTTCAGAAGATAATGCCAGTTGGGCAGTTGTGTCTGTGTTTGATTACAGACTTCTGTCAAGGAGTTGGATAGAAAAATTAAGTTCTGGAAGGTGTAGGGACTSTGCCCAAGTGCAGGTAAGTGCACTTGGAACATGCATTAGCCCWTTGTCAGCCATTCCTGAGCTGGAAAACTTCTGGGAACTCTAAGTTGAGGCAGAATTAATAGCTTTGAAGCACCAGGGAAGCTGAGGATGGGGTAGAGCTTTTTCAAGTGCTTCAYGTTCCGCTGCAGGTCCTGGGTTGTGCTGGGAATCTGAGGACAGGACTGCAGAGCCCCGTGGGTTTATCCAGGGCACCCACAGCCAGGGAATATGTGTTAGGCTCTTGGGGCATTTATTCAGTTATTTCTTACACTGTACTTAAAAACTTTTAACCTTACTGCTAAAGAAAACTGCCATTGTGTGTCAGTACGACTGGAACGAAAGCTGAATAGAGACTTCGCCTTGAGCGAACTGTCAATCTGACTTTGATAGCCCATCCCTTAAAAGGTCCTTTTATGTTTATGAAAAAGCGTGACATCAAAGCCAGGGGAAAAAAAGAAGATACCAATACTTAGAGCTTAACTTAAACTTGCATAACTTCCAAGAAGAGACCCTGTGTGAACTGTTTGTTTCTCCACTCGCGTGGCTAATTAGYGTAGGTTACTAAAAGTCTGAGCAGTGGCCATCAGGTTTCTTCTGCCATTTTGGGGTTTGTTGTGCTCCCATGTGGATCCCTCAAACTGGAGTAGCGTAGACAGAGGATATTGCAGTCGCTTCTCTTGCAGCCTCTAGGTAGCATGCTGGAAATGCTTGAGTATAACCATTATCAGGTGAGTTTTTATTGGAGATTTAATTTTAAAACCTGTTGCTAAGAAGGTGTGCAGTGTACAGGAAACGCTCATTTTCTCTGGTGTCTTGGATGCTTTATTTAATTTCTTTTGCACCAATAAGTGGGGGCCATGCATGGTCATTTGTAGCAGCGAAAGTCACTTTAATGGAACTGTTTTAAACCAAAATAACTTATTAGGGTATTGCTGTATTTTGGGTTGATTTCTGCCTTCCGATAACAATGTTAATGATCAACAAAAGGTGACAAAGAATTTCCAGGATATAGTGGAAATTTTTAATGGGAAAAAACCTGCCTTTCTTCTCTTGCATATTTAGAGTGTGCAACAGTTGTTTGGTATGAGGTTTTTCATATTTTGTACATAAAAGATTCCTAAGTACTGAGAAGCTTATCTTAAATACAAAAATAGCTGTTGCTGACGACAGTGATTGATCTGAACTGAAACACTTCTTTTCTTGCATCTTATTTGCATGATGTGTTTATAAACAGGCTGTCTTACTTGTATATGATTTAGGCTGTATATCTCAGATGTAAATAATCCAAAAAAGGCAGAAAAAGGTGTCTTCCTTTCTTCTTTTATTTTAACCAAGGTATTAATTTAAAAAAACGCAAACATTCAAAACCTAAACCACCAATACCAAACTATTTTATCTCTTTTATTTGATGCTGGATTAAGGATAGCAATCCGTACTTCTTGGTTTTAATTGTTAGCTACTAACAAGTAAAACGAGTCCTGCAGTGCAACTCATTTCTCCATATTTTGGTGAAAACTAAATGTCACATAACTGAAGGTCTGAACTCAGAACTGACTGTTCTGGAGAGTCTGTATCAACTGCAAACCTGAGCGTTGGTCTRAAGTGAGAAATCTCATGCTGTAGAAAAAATAGTTGGAACTTCTTGGAGTACCGAGTCAGTTGTTGGCGGTAGTAAGTCAGTTGTTTAAAGTTGTTTAAAAAAAYGAATCATAAACTGATTTCTTGCCAMCAAATGCGARTAAGTGARGCACTGTGGGCTTCCTTGGAGCTGCACAGGTTTGTGATACTCATGTCCCAAATGTCTGTCTCAAATCCATAGCACCTWCAGTGATGATGCTGTAAAACAATAAAACCGTTTTGAAATTGTGTCGTGCAGGTGCAGACTCACCTTGAGAATCCAACCAAGTACCACATTCAGCAGGCCCAGCGGCAGCAGGTAAAGCAGTACCTCTCTACCACTCTAGCAAATAAACATGCCAACCAAGCCCTGAGCTTGCCATGTCCAAACCAGCCTGGGGATCATGTCATGCCGCCCGGCACGGGGAGCAGCGCGCCCAACAGCCCCATGGCCATGCTCACCCTCAACTCCAACTGCGAGAAAGAGGTAAGAACTCTCCTGTTCGTGTTCTTCAGTGAAATGGAGTTGTAATCAGCTTTAATTAAGTTGTTTTAAACCATATTTGCTCAGTGTTTGTCTTTTCTGTTCATTGTGAAAATGTAAGCGCTACCTCCGTATCTGCCTGATTAATAGATACTTTTGGCAAAGAACCCACGTCCCTCTAACTTCCTCTTTTTTGAACTATTTTGCCTAGTTCATACTTACTAAAAGTATAATATACTTATTATACTTACTAAAACTACTTTTCCCCCACTCTGTTGCTTGATGCACAGAGTGAATAACTGACCTTTGGGGAATACAAAGCATCTTTGTAAGCTGTAGCTTTCTGGAATAATGTTATTTATGGYTCATTTGTGTAGAAAGTGCAAAGAGCATAGCAAAAATAACTGAAAAAACACAAAGCTTTTTTGAGATGTTTTAGGTATTTTTATGGTAAAATTTGAGCAAATCTCCTGTTAGCTGCAAGGCCAGATTATCCCAGCTAATACGCCCTAAAATGTTACTGATTGCTGTTCCAGTTCAATAGCCTATGTCTAGAAGTCCTTTGCAATCTTGTCTTAATCTTYGCTGGCAAAAAGCGAGTTAGATGTTACATGTGTGCTCAGGCTCCAAAGCATAATGATTGGGAAGATATTAACAAGCATAAGAATCAAATCAGAATTTTTGTAACATGAAAAGCAGGAGGCAGCTGTAGAGTTCCTCTTGTCCCCTCATTTTCCTCTTCAAGCCTTTGTGCCAGTTTTTTTTAGTACAGGTGCATTCTGTGAGGAAAATGGTACACAGCTCAGAGAAACAGTTATTGCACAACATATTTCGCACATGCAAAGGAAATACTTGTGCTCCATAGTTTCAAAAGAGATGAAGATCAGATATTTCCATCCTGTTGTCCCAGCTGTACCCAAATATTTTTTTCTTGAGGATATTTACAGCTTCACTTTGCTGTGTCATCGGGAACATGTGTGCATGACACTTACTCATTTGTGCTCTTTTTGGGACTGAGACTGTGCCATGAACTCAGATCCATGCTTTGCTTTTTTTTCTTCTTTATTTTTTTCTTTATTTTTTTTTCTTTTTTTTTTCT